AGGACACACTGACAAAGAAGATTAATCAGAACTGGCTTTGACAAGCACTGTGGCATTTGGACAAGAACAAACTGGGAGGAGGGTAGAGAGAATAGTCCAACAAGGAATGAATGGAAACCCAAAATCTCTGTAAATGTTTATGAAAATTAATAAAATAAAGAGAAAAAAAAAGAAAACTGCCATACCAACAGCAGGAATACATTTTACCAAAATATCTAGTAATCTATCACTAAAGATCAATCCCTGCTCTCTCAGTGAAAACCAATGCCTAAACCTCCTGTCTTGCTGTTACAGGTTTTCAAAATGTGGACTTTCTAACAGAAAATACATATTTAAAGCAAAGAAGGCAAAGAACAAACCTTCTTTTCTTTTCCCTAACAGTGAGATGAATATTTCTCTTCAAGTATTCGGAGTTACAATAAATAGCTGGATTTGAGGGGTTGGGAATGTGTGGTGGATTTTTTTGTTTTTTGTTGTGTTTTGTGGTGTTTTTTTTCTGGAGGTGGGGGTGGAATGGGGCAATGAGATCACGAGAAGGAAGAATCAAAGGTTATATTTTTAAAAAATGCAGTTCTAATGTGAGATCTAATTGATAACAGCAAGTTGATTATATAGGCACTTCAGAGGGCAGTGAATTTGTATTAAATGGGGAGCAATACCTCAGAAAAGGAGAGTGAGAATGGGTGGTCAACTCAAAGAATGTAACCAGTGTCACGAAATGGTGCATGTAGATACTAGGCAATTGGTGTACGTTTTGCTGTGCACATTCTCAACAACATAAAAAATGAAATTTTAAAATGCAATTCTAAAACATATGAAGTAGCAAGTACGAATGCAGGGCTCTCGCTTCATAGTTCTACTACACTTCTGTGATGTGTGATCTGGAGATAAGTCAGTACCTCAGTTTCTCCTCTGGCCTTCCTTTTCACATTTATGACTATGAGGTGGTCCTTTTAAAATTTTTCATTCACTCATTCATACAGATTTATCTCCCCTTATCTCTCTCTCTCTCTCTTTATTCCATAATGCATGCCCTGTTCCAGACTGTTAGTTGTGTTTCTCATGATGTCTGATCACTTATTCTTTTCAGATTGACCCTCTCTTCACCTATTCCAATGCAGTGTCCCTTATCCATTTTTTTCCTGCTCTCTCTGCTGCCCACCCCACTCCCTGAAACCTTCCTATTTTAATACAGTGGTCTTAAACAGTATTTTTCTTTTATTACGGAATTATTTCACTCAGCCTAATGTGCTCTAGTCTCATCCATATTGTGTAGGGTTTCATAAATTCTTCATTGTTTTTCAATGCTGCTCTACTGTGTAGATGTACCACGGTATCTCGATCCATTTTCTTATTGATGGGCACTTGGGTTTCCTCCATCTTTTTTTGCTATAATAAACAATGTTGTCATAAGCACGGGTGTACATACATCTGTTTGTTCTATATCTTTATTTTCTTTGAGTTTATTCCTAGTAGTGGGATAGATGGGTCAAATAATATTTCCATTTTCAGTTTTCAAGGGAAATGCCAGACTACCTTCCATAGTGGTTATATCATTTTGCACTCCTGTAGTTGTTTTGTTATAGTATCAAACTCTAGCCAAGGATCTCAATGGATTCTAGAATTAATGAATTTTGTTTGGAATATATCAGAACAAGTTTTGTACTATAACAAAGTTGAAAAAATTTATTTAATTTTTAGTATTAACCCCTCCGCCCCCACACCAAATACCAAAAACATACCATTCTTGAAGTTCAGGAGAAGGAATGAGACCTGCAGTTCCATTTTTTGAGTTCTCTAATTTACCCTGCCACCAATTGTGATCATCCTTACTGATTATCTGGATTATGTCACCAATTCTGAATCGAATACCAGCTTCTTTGCAGGGGATAAGGTCATCCTTGGCTGGATCATATTCAAATTGTGCTCTTACATAGATCTATGAAACAGGAGTTTGTCAGAAAGGATTCCAAAGTAATATGAAAGACAACAGCACTAATCTTCTAATAATCACACACTGACATTTACCACACAAACACAACATCAAATGAGGGAAGCAAAAATGATGCATGGAAACACAATACAAACAACTTTCCACTACTATAAACAACAAACTACTGATGTGTAAAGGTGCAAAAACTTACTGTTTTTTGTCATTGGTTTTTTACAGAATTTATGAAAATTTTATTAGAAAATTTATAGAGATAAATTTACGTTTTTAAGTTTTGGTCCAATGCACATATATGCACAAAACCGAAATAAACTTTTTTAAAAAATAATTTCATCTATTTATTTTTATTCTTTAATTTTCTATTTAGAAAATTATTTTGAAAATTCTAATACATTGCTTTCATTTGAAGGGACTGCTCAAGATACATGTTGGATCAAAATATTTAATTTCTGCTATTAGTATGTTTATAATATAGAGAAATAAGCTTATAATTTGAAAATATGTATATATTTAGTTGATGTTCTGTATAGACATGTGGTCATGACCATTTGGCAACTTTTAAGCCCCTAATACTAGCATCAGGGTAGGTTTTTAACCTTAAGGCAGCATATGATATAAAAATAGCAAAAACTCTGGGTTGGTATTTTGCCATAAAATGTCTTCATGATAACTGGGCAGTGGGTCTAAACACTGCTGATGAACTTATGTGTAATTCAAGAAAACTTTTAAGAAATATTTTATAGTTGTGCTTATTTAAAAGAACTCACACTTTATGTTTAACATGAAATTTGAATTCTAGCTCCTTTAACATAACACTTTAAGTCAGGCCTCTGAGTACTATAGGTGAGTTTATTTAGATATTATTTATTTAGATATTATAAAATATTATCAAAAGTACTAGATTTGCATATAAGGGATTGTTACATGTCAACCTGCTACAAATAATTCGATTCTGAAATGCTTTATAAGGTTCTAGATATCTCATGTCATACTACTTATACAGTTTTGGCTGAACTGTGAGTGAATTCTATCAGGTGCTAATTTATGCAAATCTTATTCAAATTCTGATTAATTTTTAACACTCCATTTCAAGAAAAAACAAATCCCTTAATAATTTCATCTGTTGAAATTAAATTTGAACATTAATGTTTAAGTCCTTTTACTACCAACCTGAAGACTTTGGAAACATTGTATTATTTTTTTGTGTTAAGCTTATTTTAAAAAATCCAGTGTGTAAAAAGAATCAGCCACTGCATTTATACTAACATTTGTACACTTATCTCTAACATTTGTACTTTTACAGACATGGCAATTTGGACACAGGCACAGCAGGATATAAGGTAAAGATCATCATGTACTTTTTTAAAAAAATATGAATGCCTTTTAGAAAATTTCTATGCACAAGCACTAATTTAAGAAAAAGTTTTCAAGTGTAAGAAAATGGTCAAGTATGCATTTTAAAAAATGACTCTAAGAATTTGAAAACCTTTTATATTTTTTCCCACCCCAGAGGCTGGCCCCCCAACTCCCCAAAGGTTGAATTCTTAACTAACAACATAAAACTATTGGGTTGAAATTATAATTACCATCATAGCTACAAAGATGTGAGGGGGGGAAAAATCTTTATAGAAATTAGTCATGTATAATGTGTTAAAATGAAATGGTACAAGCTCTTAATGCTCAAATGTTATGGTCAAGAACACAGGCATCATGGGATGGAAAGGGTTAATAAAAGTTTGGCTATTAGCAGCTCAGTTTAGAAAAGTTTCTAGAGAGGATATCTATTCACCTGTCGTCCTTTTGGTTGGGTGGTTGATGGCAAGTCCTGTAGAATAAAGCCAACCCAGGAGAAAAATTTTCATTTACTTTTCAAGAGTACAAGATAATTTGTGTGTTCTGTTACAATAAGGCTTTTAAGATATGAGAAAGATTTAAGTTGTAAAGAGATAACATACATTATTCCATTTCTCAGAATCGTTGTTATTAAAAAAAAAAAAAATCAAACCCAGGCCATTTAGCAGCAAGCTGAAGAAAGCAGGTAAGTTTAAGCAGAGAGAAAAAGTGTTCTTAAGAAATAACTCAGCATCTTCAACACAAAAGCCTATTTTAAAAAACCCCGCAAAACAGAAACAACAATAACCCCTGAAACAAAAAAGAGCTGTTGCCCTTTGCAGTGTAGTCACTGAAGACATTTAATTGGAAAAAAATCAATGACTCTCTAGATTTTACCCATCTTAAATGTATGAAATGCTGTCATAAATGATTTCTTTTGGTAGCCTGTTATGAAATTTAGGATACAGTAACAGAAAATTTTCTTTCATAATTTCTTTTACTGATATCTTAGAATATCATTCCATTTCAAATGATATAAAGTTATTCTGATCGAAAAATTGATACATTTTAAAAGTGCAAATTATTAGCCAAGAAAAAGTGATACTACTGCATTATTAGAACTTTCAGTAATTTTTGCTGGGTGACAAACAGCAGTATCAGAAACACAAAAACGATTCAGTTACCTGCCAAATATTGCAAACCTGCACCTATAAATGCTTCCATTTGTTTAAAGAAATGAAAATAATTTCTTATATATTGCAAAATGATAGCTATAAAAATTTTAAAATTCCAGGTTTAAGTAAAATATAAAGTACTTTGTGTTAAAGATGTGATAACTATGTGGCTTAAGTGCAATTTGAAGCTAGTATCTTTTTGTTTTTCATATCCAGGCAAGGCTTATATTCACAAAAATATGTGCACGTACCACAGTAACAGAGGGCACACCAATTCGTAAACTTAGATAGCGGAAACTAAAACATATTGCTGATATCACTCAGAATAGAAAACCATAAAGCCCAAGAAAACCTAAATGCCTACTCTGAACAATTCTGACATTTCTTTATAAAATTTTAAAAACATTTAGATATTTAAATGAGTATACATTTACATCCTTTGCACAGAATAGAGCATAATAGTACCACTACTAGGATAGAATGAAATTATTTTTAGAATGGCCAAAACAGTCTTGAGCTACAGTTCTTCAAATGGAACAAATGAAAGGGATTTTTAATAAGAAAACGTTGAAACAGATTTTTCGGGAGTAAACTGCATTGTAGCTGTAGTAGCCTCATATATCAGCAGAAGACAAAATTTCCACTGAACACATGTAACTAGAACACTTATGGCAGGTGAGCACCAACAAAATTTTCACACTTGCTGTGTGAAGCTAGAGTTCTTACCGAAACAGAATTGTTAGTGCTGCTATGACCATTAGCTGGGGACTGTCTGGAAGTGGAGGGGGAATCTCTCTGAAATAAGATACAAGGTACATTAACACAACACCAGCACAGAAACACAGAGATAATTTACATCAACAGTTAGAACTAGAGTCTGAGAACCATTTCCCTTGAGGTTTTAGGCAAAGGTGCTACACTGACTTGCATGATTTCACAGAAGTATACAAAATTCCTGCAGTTTGCAGATTCATTCACAAGTAATGATTGTACTTAATAACTTCTTCCCTATTGTCACATTCTTTAACTTTTGCTTTCTTTAAGCAAGACCCAGAAGAGTGACTTGATATTAAAATCAGATCAAGTATAATAAAAGGGCAAAATATTATTATTAAATTGTGTGTTGAAGAGCTTAACTGCCTACATTTTACTAAAATTAGTTTTGAAAAATATTTAATAATATTTGGTGCTTCAATGTCAAGAATTTTGGAATGACTCAAATGAAAGTGAAACGAACCCCTAAAAAAGAAAGAAAAAAAAAGACTTTTTTAGTTTAATCACCTTAGAATATTTCTAGGAGAAATATTACAAATAAGAGTAAAAAGCAATGGATACACATTCTAGAAAAAACCAACCCTTTATCCTTTAAATCATTTTGCCAGATTGAGTAAAATAATAATCTTGGACCTATAAAAATATTTTAATTCTGGCAAAGATCCCAGAAGCAATAATCACTTTCCTTCTATCAACTCCCCTCAGTTGTACACTCTATGCTGTCAAAATCCTTTCCAGGTTCCATTCCTTAGTGTAAAAATAAGCTTTAGCAATAAGAATATGAAGAGAGAGAAAAAGAAATAAACACATATTTTACTCTTATTAAAGCCTTTGAAATGTACATATCTGCTTAAGAGATTTTTATTTCAAGAACTTTCCAGAACTTGTTAGCCTTAAAGCTAACAGGATTCCTTAGATCAACCTTTTCAAACTGTAACGAATAGACAGATCTCACTTCAGTTGGGCAGAGTGAGGTCTAGGAGTCCTTTCTTACCAATGGTCTCTGGGGGATGTTAATGCAGATGGCCAGAAAGCCTCACTTAGGGAAGCATTGCTCAAACTAGTTAAGAAGCCTAATTACAGGCTTGAAGTATGCCAGCACATTGGAAGGCCAAAAAGGAAAGGATGGAGATAGGAGGAAAGGTATCGTTATGGTTTTTCACTATGCAAAGGCAAGGAAGGTGAAGAGAGGTCTTGTGTTCCTATTCGAGAGCATAGAATTTATGAGCATAAAGCTGGTCCCACTTCAAAACTAGGTCACCCACTTTAAAGACAAAAGAGAAACTTAGGTTAATAACTAGCAGTACCTTCTTGTTAGTTAGACAAAAAGACAAAAATCAATCATGTTACTAAATTTCATAAGAAATGATATGAGGAACACCTGTTATTCCAGAATATTGAAATTATTTACATAGAATATGTACATGGAGACTAAGGTGCGTCTGATACAGGCCATGGTCTTCGCAATCACTTATTATGCATCAGAGAGTTGGACAATGACCAAGGAGGATAGAAGGAGAATTGATGCCTTTGAGCTGTGGTGCTGGAGAAGAGTATTGAGAATACCATGGACTGCTAGGAAAACAAATAGATTTGTCCTGGAAAGGGTTGAATCGGGTGGCTCCTTGGAGGTAAGGATTCTGAGGCTCCGTCTAACATACTTTGGACATGTTGTGAGGAGAGACTGGTCCTTAGAGAGGGACATCATGCTTGGGAGGGTGGAGGGACAGCGCAGGAGAGGAAGGCCCTCTATGAGGTGGATTGATTCAGTGACTGGGATAATTGGGATGGGAGTGTCAGAGACAGTGCGATTGGCACAGGACAGAGCGGAGTTTAGGGCTGTTGTACATAGGGTCGCTATGAGTCGCAAGCGACTCGACGGCACATAACAACAACAACAACATGTACATAGGCATTTGCTCATTCCCAGGAACGTTTATTCTCTAGGTAACAAATTTCAGTACTCTGAATCCTGGAGGAAAATTTCTGCATTTTCCTATGAAATATAGTTCCAACGGAAGTTCTACCAGAGGACCCTAACCCCCAAAGAAACTCAAGATCTGATAAAACAAAACCCCCAAATGTCATGTCTCACTAAAGATGGGCAAAACTCCAGATTCTTACAAGTATCTTCAATAAGTTTCAAGGGGAAAAAACGAAGCCTCTGTTTTTTCTTGTGAAATTGATAGTACTGCCACAGACTAGAAGTAGCATTTCATTTCTCCTTCAGGTCCTAAGTACAAATGCAATTTTCTTTATGAGCTTTAATAACTTATTTATCAGTATTAAAAATTAACTTTATAAAATGAGTATTTAATAGAGAGGCACATATGCTTGGAATAAGCACATAAAAGTTTCAATAGATAACACTCAAGCTGAATGTACAATAATCAAAGAATGATACCATTTATGCCCATTTGTAGTTCCAAATATGAGAGGAACAGACTTTTTAATCTCATTTAATAACTAGCACAAAATGGAATAATAATGTTTGGAAAGTTTGCAAATTCTATAGGCTAATCCTATTGAAAGAAAAAAAAGTAGGGATTGGATTACTTTAGAAAATTTGGCTGATTTACAAACTATATAACATTTCCAATTTAAAAATTTCACCGAGTTGCAAAAGCCTGCATTCCCCTAGAGAGTTACCAATTCCTGGCAGAATTTTATCATCTAGACAGAATTGTCATAATTATTTAAACAACTGTATCTTAACAGAAATAGCTCACTTGGCAGATTCTTGAAAAGAAGAACTACTTGATTTCTTCACAAGGGAAGTGAATGTACTTCCTAAAAATATTATTGCAATTATGGTAATAATTTTTCCCCCTTGAGATTCTATCTTTTCTTTTATTAAGTCTTACTAAATTATTTGTAGCTTTTCTCTATTTTTCTTAGATTTCAGCCTGACATTAAAATGCTGAAGATATCTACATGGAAGCAGGGCTGAGTAGGTAGATGGGACCTACTCTGTTCCGTTATCTTTGTTGTAAAATTGGTGTGCAGTGATCTAACAGAACAGGCAGAAACAATTTCTCAGAAAGCAAAAACATCCAGCCATCAGCAGACAGTTAGTTAAGAACTCAGAGGAGATGCGGGTGGCTCGTCAGAGTCATTACCTCACAGGATGAAGACTGAGTGCGGTAACTTGGCACAATCTTGAAGGTAATACTCCCCCGCATTTCCCTCTGGAGAAAAAAACAAAAAAAACAACAGAGTAGGCTCAGAAATAAATGTTGCACACAAAAACTGACCAAAAAACCCCCAACAACCTGACAATGTGTGGAACAATTAGTGGAAGCCACCTGAGAGGACAGAGCATTGCATTTGTAGCAGAGAAAGTACATGGGAAAGGTCCTGTGAAGTCAAGACTGAGTGCCTTGATCATATAACAATGGAAGCAAGGATTTCTAATGGTTTCCTATTTATAGGCATGACTACAAAAAACTGTGTCCTCCTGAGTAAGGACTTGCACTGCCAACCTAAAGACATGCAGTTTGAATCTACCAGCTGCTCCATGGTAGAAAGATGGGCAATCTCTTCCTGGGCAACTTATAGTCTTTGAAAACCAGTGAGATTGTCAATTATGGGTTGATTCTGACTTGACAACCCATAACAACAATAAAAAAAACTGTAAGTGATATACCTTTCAAGAGTAAACATACATTAAGCTAGACAATATGAGATGGACTGACAGTGACTACAGGGTGGAGATTGTGAGGATGGTACAGGGCTTTGTTCTCTTGTAAACGGGGGTCGCTGTGAGGCAGAGCTGATTGGATGGCACATAACAACAATGGCAATGAAATAAAAATTTTATTTAGAATGCTACTTTGGACATGTTGCAAGGAGAGACAGGTCTTTGGAGAGGGACACCATGCTGGGTAGAGTAGAGGGACAGCGCAGGAGGGGAAGACCCTCTATGAGGTGGATTGATTCAGTGACTGGGGTAATCGGGATGGGTGTGTCAGAGGCAATGCGATTGGCACAGGATAGAGCAGGGTTTAAGGCTGTTGTACATAGGGTCGCTATGAGTCGCAAACAACTCGGCGGCACATAACAACAACAACAACACTACAGGGAGTCTTGGTGGCTCAGTGGTTAGGTATACAATTTGTAACGTAAAAGTTGGAGGTTTGAAGCCACTAGCTGCTCTTGTAGGAGAACACTGTGGCAACCTGCCCTCTTATGGATTTATAATCTTGGAAATCTGATAGGGCAGTTCTGTTCTGTGATACAGGGGCATTATGAATTAGAATGGACTCGACGGGAGTAGTTGTGGTTTAGTACTACAATATGATGTTGTACTAAAACAGTTTGCTTTTTGTTTGATGATTTGGCTTTTTTTTATTGCTGTGGGTCTGTGATGCTTGTTTCATACTTAATAGACATTCATAACATGGAACACTGCTACACTTGCAGTGGAAGGGAACAACCAGAGGTCCTGAAACATTTCCCTTTGCTATGACAGTGAACATAAGCAAGGGCCTACCATAATCTAAATTGAAACATCTATTTGGATATATATGGTAAAAAAATGTCCTGGTATATGTCCATAGCCCAGGCCATTCACAACCCCACCTTTGCTGTAGAGAAATCTGTTGGCCATGACTCAGCTAAACAGAAAAGAGGTTTTTTACATTGCTGAGGTCAGTGAGAAATTAGTTCAGATATGTACATAACTTGAAAGGACCTTTTTAAAGTCAGCTTGTTAAGAACAAAAGATAAAGGGTGAAAGCAAAAAAAAAAAAAAA